TCTTCTAAGGTAAAGGTAAATAAAAAAAAATTAAATTTAAACAAAACTGCTTTCATTTAATCACCATAGAGAAAGTTTTTTTACCTGCCATCAGTATGGCTGATGCAAAACACAAGGAGAGCAACACTTTACGCCTTCTTGGGCTCGCGTTTTCCACTGAAATGAAGTGGAGTGATTGAATCAATTGCTATATCTGCTGCAAGGAAAATTGCTTCACTGTGTCGTGCTAGACAATTTTTCTCGTCAGAATCCATTTTGCACATTTATAAATCCACCATTCCGTATGTGCATTGAATACTGCTGCCATATTTGGTCAGGTTCTCCTGCTGTACATCTAGAGATTCTTGACAAAATCCAAAGAAGGGTTTGTCATGTAATCGATCCTGATCAGGAATCTTGAATTCAGTCACTTTCTGTTCCGACGTGACATGGCTTCCCTCTGTCTTTTGGACAAATATTTTCATGGCAACTGGTTTAATGTGTTTTTTCCCTTAGTTCCTTGATTACATAAATTTAAGTGTGCTACTCAATTGGTAACTTAGTCACATCATTTTACTGTTAAACTAGCAAAGATACAACCGTCTCTTCTATTCTACTAGTTTCTTCTTTTCTTACTTCCGCTTTCTTGATTCCCTGTCACCTATAATCTTCAACAATTTAAATACAACGTCAATCGTCATCATCTGTTTCCCTGAACCCTGTTTCCTTTCCTCAGTCCTCTCCTCTAAAGTCTTCTCTTTCTCTTTCACTCCCTTAAAACCCATCTCCGTCCTAGTGGCTTTATCGCCTTCTTTAGTATGAACTGATTAAAAAATAACTTACGTGACATATTGAATACAAAGACAGAAGAAAGGAAATAAAGAGTAACCTAGCTAATGAGTTTGTGTAAATGGATGATAGACAGGTACTGGATAATAAAAAGAAAATATTGTTAAGCGATACAAATTGTTGGAAGATGTGGAGAGCCATGATCAGCCCCGTCCTAAAGGAGCACGGTAAAAAGAAGAATCATCGCTCAGAATGTGTCAAGTTTAATATAGTCTGTCACAAGGTCACCATAAAGAAGTAATTTTGTTAGGTTAGAACTAATTGATAATGACCTATGCGATGAACTTTCGAATTACTTATTATCAAATTACCAAATAATATCAAAACTGTAATTTCAAAATAGTTTTCCACAATTTCTGTATCGGGTAGCAAGGCCTCTGATCGAGAAATTAAAGGTTTTAAGGAGCGTGGTACCATTTCTTAATTGCTATTGTTCTCAGGTCCACCCTAACCCGGAATGAAGGCACCTGTTAGGGTCGCAGGTATGGGCAAATAGTGAACGCCCAAACAAAAACAAAATACTATGAATGCATAAAAATACATTTTTATAGTAAAATGACCAACAAAACATTTCATCTGAAGTTGAAGGCATGCAGTTGCATTAAAAAATTTAGATTTCGGCATTAAATAAGACATAGAGGTGTTGATATGCCGCTAAACAAAATCAACTAAACCACAATTTCTGTCTGAATTTCTAGGAGGGGGAGTTATAAATATTTATTCTAATTACACTATATTATCCTCGTCTTTGTTGTTGTTATCACAATGTTTCGGTCATTTTGCCCTCTGACCTTCATCAAGTATTTCTCACTCAACTGCACCCCATATATAATAATCAAGGAGATTGCAGTCTGGGGAGTTAGGTGGCCAGATGTAAGGGGTGATTTGGTCACAGAAGTTGTTTGACAGCCATGACTGGGTTCTCCTGCTTGTGTGGCATGTTTCAGAGTCCTGTTGCCAACCTCTTGACCCAGGGCAGCACTACCTCCTCAAGGCACTTGCTGTAAGCCTCTGTGTTGAGTCTGAGGCCATATGGGATGATGAATGGTGGCATAACGTTACCTTCACTAGTGATCATTCCAAACACCTTCATAATCACCATTAGACTCATCCAACTCTTTTCTGAATTTTCTGCACTGTCCTCAGATTGACACCTAAATCCTCTGAAATGTTCGTACTGGATCTTCTAACGCAAATGCCAAGCAATACAGCATACCGTTTTCAAATTTCTGGTGGAATTGCGTCATGGTACTCTTTTTATCACAGACGATGCCAAACTGACCTTACTATACTGTGCAGTTGGCAAAAATCCAATGCAAACAACGCGCATGCTCAAAATTAAAAATATAAAATGGCGACAATTTACCCATCATAATCTGTATTCATAATTTGAATACAAAAGAAATAAATGAAATCCTTATTCTCTGACGCTTATCTAAAATATTTGAAAAAAAATTCACAAAGAAAAAAAAAAGAAATAACATTCCTTGAGGGTTGGATACACGACAGTAATGCCCTGAGAGGGGAATTTGTTAACTATCACTTGTACTTATTTATTAGGTTGAACTAATTATGGTACAAGGAAGAGTTATGAGAAATTATTAGAATCACGTTTACATTTCTAATACCTGGAGACCACCTAGATTGTTTTTTGTTTTTTTTTTAAGAAGTAGATGCTATCATTATATTCCAGAAATGTTTCAAATTTTGGAAAATTAAATCGAATATGGCGAACTAGAACGTCAATGATACCAATATTTAAGTTCTGCATATTTATGCGTGATTTTTTTAATTTGTATCACTCCACGCATTATGACAGCCAATTTTTGCAATAAATCACGGAGTGTGGAGGAATTAGGAAAAAGAAATATTAGTAATGATTAGAAAATTGTTTTCATTTCAGGAGAATAGTAGAAAATCAAATTGACATCGCATTTAAAAAACATCAGATTAAAATTGGTTGGAAAGCATGGAATCCAGAGTTTTTTAAATGAGAAGTGCGAGAAAAGAAACTGTCAGTATAGAACTTACGGTTACATCTAGCTAGCTCAAGTGTAAATTGATGAGATCTCGACGCCAGTCTAGCAATGCGCTTAAATTCAAAAAATATTCTAGGTACCATAGCGAAGAGCTCATCCGAACAATTACCAGGAAAGTATTTATAAAAAAAGTCAAAAAGAGGCAATCTTACAGCGGTGGACAAGTGACTGAAGCCGAGCGGCCAGATCATGCCCAATAATATTGTTGATTCTTCTTTGGATCTTATCAAGGAATAAATATTAAATAGCAAGGGCACTGGGCCATATATAGCAGCAATATTTTAAGCATGGACGAATTGTAGACTTATAGATATGTAAAGGTAGATTTACAATAGAGAGAAAACGGTCCTCGCCCAGCACAGTGAACTGACTTTTCATTACCATCAAGGCAGGAGTAAATGGTAGTGTCCATCAGCATAGGTTTAAGTTGAGAGATATGTCATCAGGATATAAATTAATGAATTTTTAAAAACAAAAATATATTCAAGGATGGAAATTATGGGAACATCCATATTAGTACGAAAATATCTAGATGATTGGCCGTTCAAGGCATATTTCACTTCACGATTTAAAAGGAACGATATGGATCAGCTAGAAAAATGTACTCGGATATACCTTAATTTTTCAGCAGCTGAAGAAGAATGAATGCCAGACCCTGTCAAAGGCTTTCGAGAATAATGCTAAAGCAACCGTTTTTTATCTAGAGCATGGTAGATTCAAAACTTTATTGAAAAACATCGACAGTTTTTAAAACAAATTTTTAAGACAATCCATTGTTTGTGTTCCTTGAAAATTTTAAAACTTTTTTTTGTTTTTTCAGCGGAGATGTGTTGGCGATTCATCGTTATGGAAATGTAAAAATTTGCGGCTTAAACATTTTTTCGAGTAGAATTTAGTTATGAAAATATTGGTGGTTATTACAAAAAGAATAACATTTTCTCAAATTTTTAAAAAATAAAAAAAAACAACTATTCATTATAAAAATAAATAATTAATGAATATGTACTAAAATTTTCATTTAAATTCGATGATTTCCTGATTTTTGGCAATTTAAAAAAAGCGCTGCCATTCCCCTCAAATTTTCCTTCGATGGCTTGTGGTCCCCAGATTGGGAAACTTTGAAATCGACATGAAGTAGAGTGGGCAGCCCCGTTTCAAAGTTTCGGTGTTCGAGACTCTAGCGCCGAAAATAGGAGTAGAGGTTCAATTCCTGTTCGATTCCTGTCAGGAGGCATATTTTTCATTTGTAAGGATTTTTCGATTTCTCGTCCAATTGATATTACTTTCACCTTTTATGACATGAATGTCAACTCAAACACGAGCACCTGTTGCAAATAACGATTGTAATTAATAAGAAATAATGCAGGATTTTACAAATCCATTTAAAAATACTTTATAAATAACTGTAGATATTGATGAGGCTTGACTTAGTTTGGTATAAAGCCAAAACTTTTAGCGTTCTTTGAGAAATGTACTCACTGAACTCAATGGTGTACTTGCTTGCATAGCACCACACTGCATCGAACACCCTCAGCAAGGCAAACTGCAAATGCATGTGATTTCCTCATCTTCAGAATGGCCATTTATGTCTCTTCAACACTCACTTGTAGTTTAGATTGCATTATGCTGTGCAGACCTTAGTTACAGTTCAAATATATTCCCCTTCTCCTATACTGGCTGCCAAGCATGGCTAACGAATCCAGTTTGTCCTGTTATTTAACCCATAGCTGGGGGAAAGAAATTAAATTCAAATACGTTATTAATTTGAAAGGTATTTTATGAAATTGAATGTATTCAAATCTTGAATATGCTAGTTTCTTTAAGTATTGACTATTACGCCACTATAGAGAACACCTATGGTTGATTCATTCGTTTTTACGGATTATCAACCCTTTACAGATTATTCAAAGCCAGAAAATATTTTAGATTGTAAGAATTTTTTTTTAGATAATAATGGTTTAGTGATACAACTCTTACTAATTAATCCATAGTTGTGGAGAGAAGAGGTGGATTCATGCGTTTCCTAAGAGTATTTACGCGTAAGTGAATTTAACGAACCCAATTGGAATTTGAACTCGGCTCTCCGATTAACAATTCCGAGCCATTATCCATTACACCACCTGCACATCCAAGCTTACAGCACCTGGTATTCCCAAGTGGTTATCCATTAAGGTATTTACCAGACTCGACGTCGCTTAATTTAGGTGGTTGTACAGGAACCGGTATTTCAACGTGGTATGGCCCTAAGCCAAGAGCGCCTATGAAAAATCCATTAAAGCCAAAGGCGTGTAAATATATTATTATGATTACGCCAGCGTGCTTTGATTTTTGAAGCGACCAGCTTTTTTTTTTTTTACCTTTTATTTCAGAGATATGGTCGTATCAGTTTTCTGCATAAATTTCATTCGGCCTTTGCTTTAAATAACACAGACAAAATGTTTATTTTTGCCCGTCTGGCTGAAGGCGTTTGTTTTTATCATTTACTAAGCTTAGTTTGGCATAAGGCCAAAAATTATAGAGTACTAAGACTATTATATTACCATTTACTTTACTCGTTAATATGGAATCAATTCAGCCCCAACGTTATTGGGGACGAAAAAACATTGGGGTGAATCCTTGCCGCTTGAACTTTTATGACGACCCGGTCTAGAGTAATGGTTGACAAGTGTGTCTCGTTCATTATAAGTACTGAGCAGTAACTTCGATCTTCACTAGTTGCTCATTACTTGTAGCCTTGTGCCAGAACTAACCCAAATTTAGTAAACAACAACTTGAAGGTTCAGGTAACTTTTACAAGATTTGGATCTTGTCAATATTAGCGTACCCTATATTTCCATGTCAAGAACAGCGAACTCAATTATCCTTATGTCAAGAATAGCAAACCCTTGTCAAAATTATTCTATTTATTAAAAGCAATGTGGAAATCTAAATGAACAATTAAAATAACATTCATTTTCCATGAAAAACAGTTAAAATATCTTAGTTATTGAAAGGATATTGTATGGTGAGTGCATTACAGAACTTCAATAACCTGTTAACTGTATTTCGTTTCATCCATATGATTTAGATAACCCAGATTTGACTCTTAGGGGCTCTTCTTCGATTGTGTTTGGGTTTGTGTGAAAAGCATGATTCATCGATTTGATCTCTTATCTTAAGTCCACCAAGTTTTATAGGCTTAAAGTCAAAATGTCTTGTACACACTTCTCTGGAAAAGTTGTAAAAATCCAGTCAATCACTAGTAAGCTCTCTTCCCCAAATAATGTCTTCACAGCCTCCATGAATGTAGATCTAATCCATATTGAGGTTTCCTGGATATCTGAATTAATAAATTAAAGACCAGTATATATGAAAACTGTTATTGAATCTTAAAGTTACTTGTGTCAAAATGTCCATGTCTAAAACCGCGAACTCGATTAATCTAATGTAAAGAATAACGAATCCAATCATCTTGTAAAATATAGCAAACCCTGCCGTGAATAATCTTGACAATATCCGAAGATTTTTTTTCGAAGGCGCCTTTGTTAACATTTACACAGAGACATACTCTGAGTTACATATCGAGAGAATTGGACGACATTTGTAGGTCAAGTTAATCATGTTTACATTTAAAATTAGTTCAAAAGACGCCAATAGTGACATTCAACATTTAGCAGTGCATTTAAATGTCGCCCAATCTGGCATTCATGTGCTGATAAGAGTTGCAATGGGGGTGGGGAATTAAGATTTGTGGCGGGAAGAAGTTGACAAGTTTCAAAAGAAATGAATTCAACATTTACAAAAGAAACGTTTGCGTAAAGATTTGTTAAATAAGAACATGATTTACAAAAGAAGAGAAAATGTGAATATAGATAGCTGGGATAAAAAGAAAGAAAAACATTTATTTACATAGCTGTAGTGGGTGTGCACTGAATGGTATTAATAGCACATCAAAGAATTATTAAATTCTGTTTTTAAAGGTTCATATAAAACGTTGTGCTCGTGTCTAAACATATGTGAGTTTATTAGAATTGATTTTCATAAATTTTAAACGTATAAATCTATATTAACAAATGGAGGGTAAAACAATTCTACTTTTTTTTTTGCTAATTAAAAAATAAATAAATAAAAAAATATGATATTTTTAAAAGATTAGATTTCATTCAAAACCACCTTTTTTTTGCCAATAGTGCATATTGCAATGAACTTATTTTTTCCTATTTTTTCACTTGTGCCATTTTTACCTGCGCCATTATCACTCAATTTTTTTCGGTTTACCCGCTGACGCAAAAAAAACAACATTCTTAACCAAAATTCTGAACGTGCGAAAGAAGATTAAAAAAATGTCATAATAATAACAATTTTAGTTTTTCTTCGTTTAATTTAAACGATAAAACTATTTTTAGGGTTTTTTTATCAAGTTTAGAGCTTTTTTCAGGCGCATGCATGTTTTTTTAGGTTTTTTTTGAAGGTTTTTTTTTTATTTAAATAAGGATTTTATTTTTAAAACCTAATTATATCACAAAAGTATTTTTATTCATTTTCTCTAGAATTTTTTTTAATCCAACAAAAAAGAAGAAAAAAATCAGAAAACAATTATTTTTTTCAATAAGTTATATATTGTCATTTTTCTTAGTTTTTTTGACGCTCGATAGACGGATATTGAGCCATTTTATTCAGTCTTAAAAATGTTTTAACATCGAAAAGAATAAAAGAAAAATAGAGACAAAATTGAAGTTAAAAATGTATTTGTACTGTTACGTAAAAGTACTATAGCGGTTGCTATGTTTTTCACATCCACATACACTCCAAGTCATTTTATTCGCCTACGATTGGTTAATAAATTACTACTATCTTTGTATAGGACAATTTAGCCATCGCAGTCGTTCCTTTGAATCTTTTGGTTCTGAGCATACTTACCTATTCTGTTTAGTACGCTTATGTAGTGATTGGTTAATTTTTAACCAATCACATCTTTTTTTAATGTAAGATCAAGTTTTTTCCCGCGGTTCCGTGGGGGCCTACCTCTTTTTCCTTAAATAGGGAGACTTTTTCGATCAAAAAATTCGCCAGTAAGATTTGCTCAACACATCAACACAAATCCACGATCTTGCTCATCACACTCTAAACACACACAGACACAGAATTTCGTAACTACAAGATTACATTTTCTCTCTGTAACTTTCACAAAGCACAATCAACCAGAACTTTGTTGATTCAAACCAATTTTATCCACAACACATTTCAAGAAATTGTATTCTTCGTGTTATTCATTCTTCACATGCAACTTTGCTCTAAGAATTATTTCGGAACATTTATCTCACAAGAGAACTTTCTTCAAACGATTGATTACAATCAATCTCCAGTCAAAGGGAAAGAACTTCCTTCTCTTTAATCTACATTGTGAATACGATTTTATTTCATGCCTGTTGTATTTTATTCAATATATATTTGTTGCTTAACAAATTGGAGTTGTTATTATTTCTTGAATCCTGTACGTGGAAGAATCATTAATATAAATAGTAGTAGTACCTATATATTTGGTGTTTCTGCTACATTTAGTGATTCGACCCGCGCTATATTTGGTACGTACGCTACAGTACTACTAAAATGGATCTTTTTCGAAATGAAAGCAAAAATCGCTACCCTAGTTTAAAAATATATACAAAAATCAGTTATCCGATTTAAATGGAATTTTCAGGACTTATTCATTATTAGAAGAATTTTTTTGAAAGCTTTTAAAATTTTTTTTCTGTGTAATTCTATTTTTTTTCCTCTTTTCGATATACCATATGTATTTTTTAATTTTGGTTTTTGTGTTCGTAAAATTTTTTAAAGCTATATAAAAAAATTCATTATTTCAAAAAAAAAAAAATATGCCTTTTCAAAAATGAACATACGGAAAATTAGTCCAAAACTTTACAAAATTAATTTTTATACATTTTTTTTTGCGTAATTTAATGAAAAACGCCACCAAAATTTTCGTTGTATACGAACAAGGTGAGATAATCCTAAATGTTTAAAAAAAAAATTTTTAAAAAGAAGATTTTTTGAAATTCATACCTTTACTAAAGAAATACAAGAAAATCTTTAATTAACATCGTATTTTTATTTATTACGCAAATTAAATCCCTGTTTAAAAACCTGCTTAGACATTTCTGTGGATATTCAACATAATTGTTTTCACTAACTCGTTTATATTAATTTTGAAAAAAATATAAATAATTCCATTTTAAAAATAAAATAATTTTTTTTTACAAAAGTTTATTTTACTTTAAATAAAAAATCTTTATTAAACACAAATAAAATTATAGAAAATTTAAAAAAAGTATTTAATCGCAAAATAAAAAAAAAATGCAGAGTTTGATATTAATTAATAATTTTCTTTATGCCAATCAAATTGATTTTATAAGTAAAGGTTTAAATAAAATGTTTTTATTTTTAATTTTTTTTTTTTTTTAAATATTTTATTTTGTGTCTGCTGGTGTGATCAACAAAAAAAAAACATTTTTTTTTATTTTTTTTTTGTATTTTTTTTTGTCCATTTTTAAATCATTGACATGTGATTCACATACATTTCATTTAATGTTATAATTTAAAAAATAAACTTATTTGATTGTTTTTGAATTGAATTAAACATTTCGTCCACCGCAAGTAGATTGACTTTTTTTTCACGTTTTTAAATTTATTTAAATGAATTTTATTTAAACTAAATTTTTTTTCCAAGATTTTCTTCTCACTGCAGTACCAATACGAAATTAAAAATCTTTTCATAATATACAAAATTTCAGTAATCAAACATTTTAATACTAAATCAATTTTTTGAAATTTTACTCAGCAATATTTGATAGAGCAAAGCATTAATAACAAACCGCCATTAGCTGTGAATAAACTGAAAAAAGAAATGTCTGAGAAAACGTTTGTTGATTAAGTCCCAAAACGAATTCACTCAAATTTAACACACATGGATAAGCAGCGTATTTTGATCCATTGACATACACCCAAAGATTTCCGAGTTCAGTACTAAACGCCTATTCTTGAACAAAAACTTGAGAGTTTTTATTCTTTTAATTATTCAAGAGATATCATGAACATTAAAGCATGTTGGACTAGAAATAATAAATCATGGTGGACGAAATAAAGGGTTCAGTTCGAAATTCAATCACCTGAAGACGTCCGGAGCGACAACGATTTGAAATTCAAAACAATATTTTAAATATGATGAGGAAAACAGTCCGAATAATTTAAATAAATGTACAATACTTCA